TATGTACTGCATCCAGTCAAAAACGTGCAGCAGGTCGCGGACCAGCGAACAACATGGTATTTTGATATGATCATGCCAGAACTTGCGAAACGTACATGTACAGCTTGCGGTAAAAGTTCCACCAATGGTTTCTCGAGCACACTCTGTCTAATTCCAGAAAAAGCGGCATGAAATGCTGCGAAAAATCAGCTGGTCTGAATGCCAGCGCCATTGCTATCGTTTTAAATAATCAGGTACATGTAAAAATTCGGTTCGAGAGTAGTGACGAGGAAAGGTCAGGTGCCGCCGAATGTGTCCACAGGTTGAGGATAGTGGGACAAGCCTCATATATGAGGGTTAGCTGCGAGATAAACGGAGAACTCGATGAATAAGCAGTCCTGGACAACGTGACCAGAATGCTTGGAGGGTGCGGCGAGCCAACTTCAGGCATAGTTGGTTATAAAAAATACCGCATGACCCGATGACAACGCGGTGACATGGCGAGTACATGTCGCCATCAAATAAGTACGCTGCTAACCTCAGCTAACCGTAGTCAGTTCCCAGCTCGGTTGAGAAAGACAAATCGGCCTTAAAAACTAATGCTAATATGACAAGTCAACTTACTTCCAGAAAGAATTCTAGGGCATTCCCCAAGGCAATGCTCAGCAGCAAATCCCTGCGGCTATGAGAAATGAGCAAGGGTACCAGTTACTGTAACGACGGCATCGCAAAGAAGAGATTGGCATGCCGAAAACGAAGCGAGAAAATCCGAATCGTCCTTGCAACATAGGAACAATGATGAAAAAGGGCATGGAGATAGCGGAAGCTCTTGAGAGAAGAAAAGTTCTGATCGCTTGTATTTCAGGAGACGAAATGAAAAGGTGAGAAATCGAAAGAAACTGGGCTAAACTATAAATTCATTCGCTGATAAACATGAAACAGAAGAGACAGACTTGGAGCGGTGCTAAATGAAGCGACAAAAAACAGGAAATTTGAAGTCAGCCAAATTAACGACAGAATCATAGGCGCTAAGCTGACTTTAGAAAGTGGTATCTTAAAATTTTTAAAAAAGTGGTATCTTAAAATAAGTGCCCACACCCCGTTCCCCAGGCCGGCCAAAATGAAGCCAAAAGGTCAACATTCTGGGAAAACCTAGACATTGCACTGCAAAACATACCGCGAAACGAAAAGGTGATAATCGCGGGTGACCTTAATGAGCACGTCGGGAAACATCCAAGGGGTTACGACAGGATCCATGGCGGAAATGGATAGGTATGTTAAATAAAGAAGGACAGAACAATGAACAGAGAACTGCAGGTGGCAGCTGCATATGATCAGGCTCTGATAAACGCGTTCCTCCAGAAAAAAGAAAACCACCTGCTAACTTACAAGAGCGGGTAGAAAAAAAATCAAATCGACTACTTCCTGCTCTGAAGGGACGAAGCTAAGAACGTCAGAGATTGTATGGTTATCCTCGGAGAAACTGTCTCACGCCAGGTCCAGCTACTGGTCCTAGACCTCTATGAAACATCCCATTCAGAGTTTAGATACGAAGATATTTCTGAAGATACAGTGGTGGAAGCTCGAAGAGAAGCTGAAAGAAGCGTTAAAAATGGAAGTTGCGATAAAAATGACGAACCAAGGCAGAAATAAGAAAGCTGACGAAATATGGGAACGGATGGCCAGCAGAATCGTACGGAATGCCGAGATCTAGTCGGAGAAACAAAAGTCACAACATATATCCAGAAAGAAATGTGGTGGTGGAATGCAGACGTTCAGGTGACCCAACGACAGAAGAAAGAGCTGTCCAAGAAACGGCAGCTATCAAACATTATGAAAGACAGAGTAAAAAATGCCAAATCGACAAGAGGCAAAAAAAGTATATACTCACTGAAGCAAAGTATACAGTGTGTAATGGTTTATATAAAAAACTGATAACGAAGGAAAGGGAGAAAAACATCTATAGCATAGCAAAAGCTAGAGGAAGAAAAACAAGAGACGACGGTAAAATGAAGTGCATAAAAGACGAAAACGGAACGATGCTGACCGATGAGAGAAATATTCGCAACGGATGGCGAAGGCACTTCCAAACGCTTCTAAATGAAGAACATGCCAGAGAGGTCACGGAAAGGATCCCACAAAACCAAGGCCTAGTCGAGAACATTTCACCGAAGGAACTGGAAAAAGCTTTGAACAGAATGAAAAATAAAAAAAACCCTGGTCCGAACGGAGTTCCCATAGAAACATGGAAGGCACTGGAGCAGGAAGGCGTGGTGTGGCTCTGCGCGCTATTCAGCAGAATATTTTTATGCCAATGCACAGGGGATATGTCCCCTAAGAAAACTACCATGGAATTAAACTGCTTAATCAAACCATGAAGGCATATGAGAGGATGACTGACAAGACTGAGGAAGCAGTAAGACATCACCAGTAACAAATTTGGCATTGTGCCAGGCAAATCAACCACGGATATGCTATCATGGCTTTAAGATCAGTCCTAGAACCATACAGAGAATGCAAACAAGACATTCACATGGTGTTCCTAGATCTGGAGAATGCCTCTGACCGAATCCGAGGCAACTAATCTGGTGGAGCATGAGAAAGACGCGTGTGACAGAAAAATATGTCAAGCATGCCAAAGACATGAACG